GTTTAAGAAAGCCCGAATCCCAGCCACGAGGGAATGGATATTGACGATCACAAACAAATAAAATTAACAGATAGAAATCAAATTACAAGCGGGTTGTTATCCTCTTCAGTCTTGTCCAGGGTTTTTTTTTCCTGTAACTATCTGAACCCCTTAAAAGTCTTTTCAGTATTTCGTGTTTTCAACCCATACTATATCTTACTAAATAGTGTCCGTAGCCTTTATTTGCTACAACTTTTCTGAACACCTTTACTTGAGAGTGTAAGATATTCCCAAACTAGATGCTCTAAGAGCGTTCACTCGAGCTTCGTACCGCAGTATCAAATCGTACTTTACGAAAACACGTATTGGACACAATAAAAACAAATTAAAGAATCAGGATATTTTAGCACAAAAGTTCCGCCTAGATATTTACTATTCAAGTTGCTTTGTCGAGTATCCTCCTAATCCAATCGCAAGTTATGAGTTTAAACCATTTCGGATCAAGAATCAAGCACGGTTGTCTACGCATTTATGAAGAACTTGTTTGAAAAGAATTTTCCAGGTCTTTTTACAACTTATGGCGATTACATTGTACATGCTAGCAGAAATTGTATGAAGTTCGTTTACTGGTTGTGGCTATCCGCGTGAATTGTGCAGCTGAACATCTTTGCCGTGCTGCGATCTTAAACCCTTTTCAAGACTCTTATCTCCTTTGGAGAGTGAATAGATGAACTCCTTCGCGAAAACAACAGTCCTAGGACAAGGCGCAAATTGCATTGCACTTAATTTGCATAAACTTTCAAGTTGTGTTTTAAGAGGATAACTTTCGAGAATTTGCGACCCCTAACGCAGTTTATGAAGAAATATTCAAGCTACATATTTTTATTGAATCAAGGCAGGAGTATTTTCAAAAAGGAACTCATTTATAAGGGAAGATGCGGCATTCTGTTTTGCTATTTATTTTGGTTTCATAGCTCGTCGAGTTCATGTCACGCAACATGATTTTCTTCAGCAGTCACACACAGTTTTCCAAAAGAATTGCCGATTGCTAAGACTGCTAAATATATTTAAACTACTAGAGAAATAACTGGCTAAACTATCGTCAATGCAGATTTTCCTTAGGAATTGGCAAGAACATTGGTTCGTCAATAATCCCGCACAATTCCCCGCACAATCGAAGGTTTAATTTTCCCGCACAATATGCCTCCAAAATCACACGTTATTTTTTTTCCTGCACCCTACTAGAAAGCCAACTAACTTGGAGGTTAGATATTTAATTCAAGTTACCGAAAGTCTTATCTTTACAACTTTGGAGATCGCCCTTTTTGCGCAGTGCAAGAAACAAATCGCATGTTTTTAATGAGCTATGAGTCCAAAAACGTTTTCGTATTTAGCTCGTTTTATTTCAATATGATTTGTTTTACTGCAGTGTTCTAAATAATAACAGCAGTAGCCACATGCAGTCATTGACTGCCTATTTTTTGTCAGTGTTTTGGTAGTTTGAACTCATACTGCAATCAGCTCAGTTGTTATCTCACGAGGACGTTTCGAGCATGAACTTTGCTTACCTGGCTGGCTTTCAAATAATATAATTTGTGGACCTACCCTACCCGAAAACGATCGACATCTTTGTATGTGAGATGAACGTCTAAGGCATGATTCTTGCAAAAAAAGTTCTTCGCAAAACACCGCATTTTGTCACGAAGAGCGAGCATTGTCGCGTTTCTTGTCCACAGTTTCCACGGTCCATGCATGGAACGCCTGGGACCATGACCCCCCTTTGAGTGACCAAAACGCTTGCATTTTATGACTCGGGCTTTCCTACGGAAGCCCGAGTTATAATGCTAGGAAATCTGAATGCTAACTCACCATCTTGGTTTGTAACAAAATATTCCGGATCACTGTAGTCTCCATTTCCCTTATCGGTAGACGCCAAAACCCTGACACTGTAGTTCATATTCTTTATCAGCCCAGTTAGATTGACCTCACGTGTAGGAACATAGACTGTTGTGTTTTCAAC